TCCTGGCGATGATAAATGTTTTTGTACTCATTCCCTCCCATGGGGACCATTTCCAAGAAGCTCGTTGTTTTTATTATTTTTTCGTTTTGATCATCCCCCTAGGGACGGGAGCCTTTTTCATTGCCAGTCGATCAGCCGGTTAGCGCCATCGGTACCACTACTACCACTGTGAACGAAACTACCACACAAACACACGCTCGTCCGGAGGTCGTATGGTGATTTCGAGTCCCTGACAATCTCAACCACACCTCGATCAACTTCGCACAATTAAGTAAGTGGGTTCTTGACCTCATTATTGCTGTTGATGTCCTCTCCATCGTTCGGCGATAAACTACCACCTGCCGGCAGGGAGGCTGGCCGTTTTCCACCGCAGCACACGGATGGCCGATCTCGGATTGCACCGGAGAGGGTCTCAAGGTAAAGCGGTTGCAGGATACAATTCCTCACGTTGTCGTTGTTGTTGTTGTTGTTGTTGTTACTGTTGTCGTTGGCGTTGTCGTCGTTTTGTCGTTCTGCTGTTGGCTGACGTTAGGCACACCGCCCTTCCGGTGCGGGGGCGGGTCTCAAGGCACTGCGGCTACGATTGTGGCTTTGGTTGTTGGTGCTGTTACAATAGCTTCATCGTCGTTGTCGTTGTCCAAATGGCTGGCTGTTGAATTGACACGAACACCTCCGTCTTCATCTTCATTCGTTCATCCGCTCATTCAGTGCATCGCTCTGCCAAGACTTCGGTATTCATAGCACCTCACCTCTCGGTGATGGCACATGGGCGGTGCGGCCGTATCCTATACACTCTGTACATTTTACGTAGCACCGGTTTCGGACTCCCCGATGCCATCGTGGGTGCCAGTGCGGTCCTCGTCGTTCTCGTAGTTTCGTTTCGCTAGGGGAATATTGTTCATTGTCATGTGTCGTTTTCACCACCCTGTGTGTTTAGGTTCGGTTGTGACTACAAAAAGAAGAGGGGGTCGTGGATGGGGATGCAGGGGGAGTTTATTTCGTGAAGCAGCTGCAGTGGCAGCAACAACAACATCAGCAGGAACGGCACCAACAACAGTGGCTTTGTTTCTCTGCGCCATGGGCCTGCACGCATTGCCTTGCATCCGGCGAGACTCCCCCCCCCCTCCATTTTCCTCAAAATCGTGACCCCTTTTTTCATCGAACATGCACAGCTG